TATATAACAACTCCCCCTTTCTTCCCAGGTGCAGGAGATATAAAATGAGATCCCAAACGAGCATTAACTAAATATTTCTGATCTTTAAGTAGAATATGAGTTTCCTGTAAACAAATAACATCATTGGTATGTTGCTTCAAATAATAAAAGATTTTTTTCCGTTTCTGAGGAGAATTCAATCCATTAACATTCCAGGTCAAAAACTTTGCCATCTCCCTTGGCACGCAGCCTGGAGAAGACACCATCAAACTCTGACAGAGCTGCGTGTGTTGCATAACTCTTGGGTCTTGCTCCTCCCACCGGCGGTGATGCACTTCCAGGAGAATTCTCTTTGGGCTCTTTTTTACGTTGCTCTTTCTCTTTACGCTTATAGGCTGCACGAGTCATCCTCTGCTCTTTAGCCTCTGTTTGGCGTTGCTTTGCCACTTCTATCATCCCTGCGGAAACCAAATCTAGTGCCTCAGATTGCTGCTCAGGTTCCTTACCACTCAAAGATTTCCGACCAGATGAAGTTGAGCCTGCACTCAGGACCGAAGTATAGAAATCTCTAGCTTTGTCAACTGTGTTCAATCTGTAACGTGTCCCAGCATGGCTCAAAACGATACCCATCGGAATTTCCCATCTGAATGGCATCGATCTAGCTTTAAGCTCATTGGTTAAAAAAGCAAAGTCTTTCCTACTTCTTAAAATTTTAGATGGGATTTCCTTTAGAATGATGACATCTTGGGCGGCAATCTGAAATCTTTTGTTGTAAAAAGCTTGTATAATCTCATTCCGCAGGGACTTCTTTGTAAAGTAAATCACCACATCTCTGGGCAAATTCTTCTGCTTAGCAATCCAGGAGTTGAGTCTATAAATTTTTTCCACTTCTCTCTGTAATTCTCCTTTATCCATATCCAAAGCCAGCGCCAGATCACTAAGAACCACCTCCATCAAATCTTGATTCATATCTTCCTTGAGGCCTCTAATCCTCAGAGCATACTCCATCTGTCTGTACTGAAACATCAAAATATCTTCTTGTGAGGAGTCCACCTTCCTTTCCACGTCTTGAATTTTGTCATCTAAAGAGTCAACTTTGTCTTCCACTTCCTCAAGCCTTGCATCGAGCTTAACCACCACAGTAGCCAAACCTGAAACAGCTGCCAGTATATCTTGTCGTAATTCATTATTATTTTCTTGCAATTTAGACTTTATCCCCGTTATCTCTTCTTTGAGATCAGATTTAATTTCTGATTTAATCTGTGAAACAAATTGAGTCATTTCCTCTCTCATTTGAACTACAATCTCTCCCATTATGCCTCTAACCTCTTGTACTGAAAGTCCAGGTAGAGGAGGGGAGGGTGGTGGCTGAGCCGGTGGTGCATGTTTAGATTGTTGTTGTAACTGTGCAGTGGAAGTTATAGGAGAAGAAATAACCTTGGGTATTGAGGAAGGCTGCTGCCTCTTTGAAGCCATTTTAAAAAGCACAATTGTCACTTCCCTTTCCCCTCCAGCCAAAAAGGGAGGAGGAAAAAAAGAAAAAAAGAATTTTTAAAAAGAGACAAACTATAATCATTAAAAGTCCAAAATAAATCCCAAGAATAAGTAGTAAAAGAGCAAACAATTCAAAAGAAAAAATTCTAAGCCAAAAGCAAAAGCAAAAGCAAAAAACAGTCCTTAAAAAGGGAAAGTAAAACAAAAGAGAAAGGAAAAAAAAACTCCGACACTTTCAAAACGCCATCTTAAGTCCTTTCACTAGTATAACAAAGAAAAGGAGGAAAAATAGTAAAAATCAAAAGATAAAAAAATAAACACCTAAAATATAACAAAAAATCCTTTAAACTGCTCCGTCCGTTTAAAAATTACTCACCAAAATGCTGTAAACACGGAGATAGAAGCGGCGGTTTCTTTTGCTTCCTAGGAAGCAAAAACAGCTGGGAGGCGGAGATCAGCAAGAGCTCCGAGGGAACACTCCTTTCACCCCCTCTAGAAATAAATCCAGAGGGGGTTCAGGGGTTCTACCTCTACTCTTGCGTTCTCTATCCCTTCCCTTTGCCCGGGAAGGGATTTCCGAGCCGCGGGCCAGCTGATGCGCGCTGCGCTCCGCGGCTCTGACACTTCCCCAGCTGGACGGCTAAAAGCTAGCCGCCATCGCCGTCGCCTCCCACCGGAAGCTCCTCAATACCATAATAATATTGAAACAATTAAAACAGGTATCTTGGAATTCTTTTTTTCTGATAATTGGCCCAAAAGCAAAATTAGACAAAGAGCTTATGCTGCCAATTTTCTAGAACTAATGATGTCATGCAGATTTAAATATAAATGTATGACAACTTAAAAACAAGTTTGGAGGAAATATCATCATTAGAACACATTGTGCCAATTTCCTAGGCTTGGGCGGTGGCAAGACAACGACATCATAGTGCTAGGAATAACATGTAATGATGGAAAACCAGGGCTGCAAATGACTTCCTCCCTTTTCTGCAAGAAACTGTAAGCTTTGTGAAGCCATGTTAAGGCATGGGGCTCAGTCAGTAGTCTCTCTCTTTGGCAGGAACATGAAAAGTAGTGAAACCGAATTAAAGAGCTACTATTGACTCTTTGCAACTACTGTAATCTCTTCCTCAATTAAAAAGACCATGTGATGGCAAACTGTGCTTTTTCGCATGTAGGTACTGCCACCTAGTGGTCACCCTCACTTAAACCACACAGATTTGAGTGGTAATTTAAAGACAAAAAAAAAATTACATTGCACATGTTTCGTGGATCAGATTCATGGAGTTTAATCTCAAGAAAGGAATATCCTATATACACTGCAACGAAAAGGGAAGAACAGTAAAAGTTGAGGGGGCAGAAAAAATTCTCTATAAAGTAGCAACATTAACAACATAGCAGCTAGCTAGATGCAATACCGACAAGCTTATATAAACAGATGAATAGCATGTGGAATAAGAAGTCTTGTTTTGTGTTTAATCCAGGAGATATAGGCAATTCTCACTGGGAATTCCATTGCTAACTGACACAGTCATAAAGTAGGCATCATGTTATTGCACTGATTTACGACGGCAGTTACAACAGTCCTAGTTGCTGTCATTAGGCAAATCCTGCATAGTCAAAGTGTCATGCAGTCATATGATCACTATTTATGACCTTCTGCCAACTTCTCCTTGACTTTGCTTGCCAGAAGTCAGCTAGGAAGGTTGCAAATGGTGATCATATGATATTGGGACACTGTAACATCATAATTGCCATAATTGGGCAAAGTGCCCAAACAGAGATCAGATGACCATGGGGACATGCCACTATGAGGACCTGTTGTAAGTCTCCTGGTACAGCATTGTCATAACTTTGAATGGTTGCTGAACAAGTAGCCTTTAAGCAAGAATTGCCTTTGTGCGATTAAATGGCCTAACAAATTCCAGATTGGTTGTTTAATTATGAAATTAGTCTTTGTAATCCTTTAATTCAAAGAAAGCTATCTTGAGGGCATTGACCTATGTGTCTCAGGAAACTGAAATGATTCCCACTTGAATAGACACATATCCAACTATTATTTTAAATTCTATAGAAAATGACAAAACCTAGCCAACATTAGCTTGTATCAAAAAAGCTAAGCAGGCCAGACCTGGTTGGTGCTTGGATGGGAAACCATCAAGATATCCCAAACCTATAGACTAGATGGGGAAGTCGAAAACTATCCTGTATGCAACAGACAATTATTGTATTGTTTCTAAGAAAACAGCATGGATATGCTGTCAATAGGACCTGTCTCAACAAAGAAGTTAACATTGTATTCTGCTGAGTAAGGACTGATCAGTTTGTTCAGTGTCTGCATATTCCTTATAGATGATGGCATGTAACACACTGGAGGATCAGCAGGTCCTCTGAAAGTATGAATAATATTTTTTGTAATGATGATGTCAGAGTAGACATAGAGACATTACCATCATCATCATCGTCGTCATCATCATCATCATCATCTTTCTATTTTGTATAACTCAAGATGGCATATATAATGCGCCCGCTACATGAACAGTGGAAGAAATGCAGATGCAAGTGTAACATACTGAACATATTCACCCTTCTTCTAAGTAAAGCAACCTCAGCTCAGATGGGTTGGACTATTGGCACTAATAACATTTTGATTTCAAGGAAGAAATGTTTATCAGAAAGGAAACAGTTAAAAAAAAGTTGGAATGAAAGATCAAAGGCCTGGAGACTAAAACATATGAAGAAGGGCTGCAGGACTTGGGTTTGGCTAATCTAAAAAAAAAGAAGAAACAGGGGTGACATGATAGCAGTATCCCAGTATTTGAGGGGCTGTCACAAAGAAGAGGGGGTCAAATTATTCCCCAAAGCACCAGAGGGCAGGACAAGAAACAATGGTTGGGAACTGACCAAAAAGAGAAACAACCTGGAATTAAGGAGAAACTTCCTAACAGTGAGGACAATTAACCAGTGGAACAGCTTGCCTTCAGAAATTATGGGCGCTCCATCAGTGGAGGTTTTTAAGAAGAGACTAGACAGTCACTTGTCTGAAATGGTATAGGTTCTCTTGCTTGAGCAGGGGGCTGGACTAGAAGACCTCCAAGGTCCCTTCCAGCTCTATTCTATTCTATTTGTATTTTATTCAAAATCTGGGCACGTCTGGCAAAGATATTTCAGCTCAACATTTTTGTATCACATAAGAACTAGATGGTCTCTAGGGACACTTCAGTTTTGTAATTTCATTTTGATTCTAGAAAAATTACAGGATCACTGCTTACACAAAGTCTTATGTAAGTCTTTTTTCAAAAAATATTTTTATTTTGTGATCATGCTGTTTTCAGTGTGGAAAGGAGGGAATGCAAGACTCCGTATTCACGTCAATGAAAATTCAATGTCTTTGATTTGTGAGCTCGCTATTTTCTTCATTCTTCTTTCTACATAAAGCCATGAAGAAGGTTTTAAAAAGAAGAATTGCTGAAATGATTCATAACTGGTAAGCCTTCACCCCTCCTGAAGTTGTAAGGAATACTTACAGCGGTCTGAAAACAGCAGAAGAGCTGAGTGAGGAAAGGATGGTTTCTTGCTAAAGTCAGGATCCGCTTTTCTGTTAGAGTACACTCCACATCATCATCTTGCAGAATTACATCTTTCTTCAGCACTTTGATGGCATAAAGATATCCTGTCTCTTTTGTTTTAGCCAGCATTACCTAAATTTGCCACAAAGCAGGATTTTTAATTCAAAGCAAAACAAAACAAATAATTGTGGAAGCATCTCAGAAACAGCAAGGCATGCTGTTTCCTGCCAACAGGTCAAACCTAAGTGTATTTGTTCAGAAATTAAGTAGTATTCAACTTACGACTGATTGCTTAGCAACCGCTTGAAGTTATGACAGTTCTAACAGTTGGGGATTCCCACAATAATGGGACTGCATTTCAGGCACTCTACAACCGGGCCACATTGATTGCTGTTTGCAGAGTCCCACAGTCACATGACCGTGCTTTACAATGGTTTTGCTTTTAATTCAAACCACACCCATAGCAAACCATTGGTTCGTTTAATGACTGCAATGATTCACTTAACAACTGTCACAAAAAGGTCATAAAATTAGGTCAGTCACATGGGGGACCCTATTTACAACTGCCACAGATTATGAGCAGGCTCTATTGCAATCCTAACTCAAGGACTACCTCTAAGTCACATGACATTAGATGGGGCTCTCTGAATAAAAGGACACATTGGCCGAGTTCACATAGGATGCTAAGCTAGAAACAAGGGTTATGCAACTTTATTTGGTTTGAGGACCACAACAGCTTTTAAATAATGACATGTTAGAAGTTGCATATGAAGAGCAGTTGAGGCCTAAGACTCCACTGAGAACTTAGTGAAAACAATGTGAAACACAAGAATAAAAGAAAACTTCTTTTTGATTTAAAGTTTACTGAAGTTTTAATAACAGAAAACATCTTCACAATTTAAAGGGACGTGATACAGGGTCTCTTACTACTACTACTACTACTACTAATAATAATAATAATAATAATAACAACAACAACAACAACAATAATAAAGTTGGAAGGGACCTTGGAGGTCATCTAGTCCAACCCCCTGCTCAGGCAGGAAACCCTATACCATTTCAGACAAATGAATGTTATGTCCTTAATGCTATTTCTTATAAAGGTGGAAGAGCTAAGCAGGTGTCATGGTTCAAAACAAAAATCCCACCAAGATTAAAATTTTGTACTTGTGACAAGAAGCAATGGGTGGAAACTAATCAAGGAGAGAAGCAACCTAGAACTAAGGAGAAACTTCCTGACAGTGAGAACAATTAATCAGTGGAACAACCTGCCTTCAGAAGTGGTGAATGCTCCAACACTGGAAGTTTTCAAGAAGAGACTGGACAGCCATTTGTCCGAAATGGTGTAGGGTTTCCTGCCTGAGCAGGGGGTTGGACTAGATGACCTCCAAGGTCCCTTCCAACTTTACTACTATTATTATTATTATACTTTTAAAGACAAAAATCAAACTACAGTTATAGATTACCATAAAATATGAACGCAGCCTGGTCCAACTAAACCAAAAGTAACACCAGTATGGAAACTTCAAATCTCAACAGAAACACTTACCTTTCCAAAACTGCCCTTTCCCAGCACTCTGATGAATATTAGATCTTCAATTTTAAGCCTACTGGCTGAGACTTCAACCATCCCACTGCCATCCTTTGTGCTGTCTTTTTTCTGACGTCTCAGTGTTGATCTTGAGACTAATTTCTGTAAACATTAAATAGTCATGAGTTGTTTTTTGCACCCCAAATTTTCTCAGTGTCTTTGAATTTCAGAAACTCAATTTTGAAAAGAAACCTCTCCGGGGGGGGGTAACACTTTGAACATGGCATGAACAGGAAGAGGCAAGCATGCACCTGAAGTTTTGGACATTAAACCTCATAAATAAATTGGCTTGACCTAATGGGAATTGTAGTCCAAAATTTCTAGTTCACCCAGTTCTGCTTTAAAGAGTAGAACTATTCTTTGGGGGGGGGGAAGCCCAGATATGAGTGGAAAATGTATTGTATGTTTGTTGATTTAAGGCAAGCGAGAAATAAACTGAATTGACTTGAATTGCAGAATGTATGATACAAGTATGGAGTTGAAGGTCGATTGCTAAATACAATAGGAGTGGTATATGATGGAAATAAACCATGCCTGAGAATTAATTGAAAGCTCAGTGAATGCTTAGCTCAACAATGAATAATGAGTAAAGACAAGGGTGCTTGATATCCCCTTTAAGGTGTAATGAATTTATGAATAAATGTATAAGGAATGCTTATGGTGACATACAGCTCAAGGACGTAAACATATGTGGATTTGTACGTAGATGATGACTTGTTCTTGGCTGAAAACCTGAACGATTCCCAGAATTATGCACAAATGTATCAAACTGAAAATTAAAGACTGAAAGACAAAGGTGGTAACATTTGGTAACTACATGAAATCAATAATTTCTAATTATACAACAGGTCAAAAACTAAAGCAAGTAAATGAATGTGTACCCTGTACCTTGACAGAATGTTTACTAAAGATGGGAGAATAAGGAATTTTAAGATGTGAAAATGCTGATAGAAAGGCAGCAGGGGGATGTGCATTCCATTGCAAGGAATGAATGTTTGTTAAAAGAAGTGAGAATTGTTGGGTAGAAAAGAACAGTTTTCCCCACTTTGTCATATAGAAGTGAGAACTAGATATGCTAAGAGAAACACAGAAGTAAGTTGAATGCAGTGAAAATAGTATAGTTAATAAATGTGTGTAGTAAAACAAAAAGAGATAGGGAGGCAGGCAGGCAGGCAGGCAGGCAGGCAGGGAGGGAGGGAGGGAGGGAGGGAGGGAGGAAGGAAGGAAGGAAGGAAGGAAGGAAGGAAGGAAGGAAGGAAGGAAGGAAGGAAGGAAGGAAGGAAGGGCCAAATGAATGTGGACTGAATATCAAAATGAATAATTAGTGTAAAACAAGTAGACGTAAATGGTTTGGACATATAAAGAAAACGAATAAAGATCAAATTACAAAACAAATATATGAAGGGAGAATGAATGGGTGGAGGGGAAAGGGAAATTCAAGAAAGTCATGATTAAGAGGGGAAGTTTAAAGAACAACAGGGAAGATGTAAGATTAGTTTCCAAGGATAGAAAGTCAAGAAGAGGGATAGAAAATAGTCTTGGATTAAACTATATCCACTATGTTTCCTTTTCCTTTCCTTATTATTGTAATTTTTTAAGACTACTATTTCGTATTCCTTTCTGTTGCTTACCCTGAAAAGGAATAACATGCTGGGTGTGCATGAACAGTCATGATTCTGATCTATCCTGCCGTGCATATGCAAAGTAACATATGTACAAAGGATTTTTTTAATCCAATTCACTGTGGAGAAGAAGAAGAGGGAAAACAAAGTCCTTACCCCATTTGGAGAGATATTTCCAGGTTGCAGTCCCATACATGCCAACGTCTTGGCTAGTTCTGCTGCATTCACCCCACAGTTTGGGGCTACATTGGATTCACACCGAATATGTACATTTATTTTACACACTGAAAAGTGAAAACAAAAGCAAACAAACATAGACACTGGAACAAGAACAAAATGGTGTTTCTTTCCTAATGACAGCATGGGAATGCATGAGAGAAATCCAATCCTTATTCCTTCCATCTGAATCACAAATCAAGGTTTATGCAGAGTGTTCAATCATATCACATGAATTCAAGCAGTTGTGTTTTATTTAATCGGTATTAAACAAAACATAGGATGCTCGCTACACACCAGTTTGATGAATACCATTTTACCTTCCCTGTTTAATAGTGACTCTGCAGCACAAGAGTTTAGGACAATAACCCTCAGCTGCTATTCCTCTAGCTCAGGGGTCTCCAAACTTGGCAACTTTAAGACTTGTGGACATAAAGCATGGCTGGCTGAGAAATTCTGGAAGTTAAAATCCACAAATTTTAAAATTGCTAAGTTTGAAGACTCCTAGCTCCATGAAAAGAGACCCCATAACTTCTCCTGAATTTGTTCCATATCTGAACTTCATGTCTATGGAGATTCTCAATCATCATACTTATTTATAATACTTATTGTGTACATACTTACAAACCCTCAGTTCACACTTAACATGCAAATCAATATCTATCTTAATTGAACACAGTAGGGCAATAAAGAAAATCAAAGTCCCTTTCCTTGCCATTTCTATCCTTTATTCTTATAGAGCAAAGGTATTTCAGCAGTCCCTAGAGCAGTGTTTCTCAACCTTGACAATTTTAAGGCGTGTGGACTTCAACTCCCAGAATTCCACAGCCAGCATTGCTGGCTGTGGAATTCTGGGAGTTGAAGTCCACACGCCTTAAAATTGTCAAGGTTGAGAAACACTGCCCTAGAGCCCAGGAATTTAGCAGTAAAATTAGGCAGCATATTGCTGAGAAACGTCAGATGTGATTTCCTGTGTTGGGAGAGGGAATTAAAATAAAAGGCAAACAGTGTACAAGTTTTCATTTATATACCGGGGGGGGGGGGGAAACCTAGCTCTACCCAGATATCCTGATATCCCAGCACTCTCAACTTCAGAATAAAAGAGTTGGAAGTGACTTTCTTCTAGTCCAATCCCCTGCTCAAGTAGGAACTCTGTACCATTTCAGACAATGGTTGTCCAATCTCTTCTTAAAAATCTCCAATATTGGACTAGCCACAACTTCTGGAGGACAGTTGTTCCACTGATTAATTGTTCTAATTTCTGAGAAATTCCTCCTGAGTTCTAGTTTGTTTCTGTCTTCAGTATTGTCCTGCCTTCGGTATTGTCACTTTCTGACTGCTCTGCCAAATAGCAGGGTTTCAATATTTGAGGGGCTGCCACAAAGAAGAGGGGCTCAACCTATTTTCCAAAGCACCTGAAGGCAGGACAAGAAGCAATGGATGGAAACTAATCAAGGAGAGAAGCAACCTAGGACTAAGGAGAAATTTCCTACACTGGAAGTTTTTAAGAAGAGCTTGGATAACCATTTGTCTGAAATGGTATAGGGTTTCCTGCCTGAGTAGGGGGTTGAACTAAAAGACCGCCAAGGTCCTTTCCAAGTGTGTTATTCTGTTATGGTTATGTTGGGAAAGTATGCCCCCCCCCATTAATTCAGGACAGGAAAACTAAACAAATTCCCCAGAGATGGACTCTCATCTTTGTGCAGACTTTCCACTTACTTTTACACTGAAGCCCTTGTCGCAAGATTCCCCAGAGGAGAGAACCACAGTGATCACAAAAGGTTGGCACTTTGTAATTGTGGATTCTGAACTTGTGTGGGATATTGATTCCAAACCTCTGCTCAGAAATCTGAGGAAGAAAAAGCAGCGAAAGAAAAAAGTTGGTGATAAGTGATAAAATAATAACGGTTGACCAATCCTTATTTTTCAGTTTGCAGTTCTTGAAGCAAGGCAGATGGAGAATGTTATTGCCCCCATTTGATGGGTAAAGGAAGAAAAGAGAGAGCCAGGGTGAGTGGGCCTAGGAGTTTTATTTTATGTTTCTATGGCATAAAGTTGGTCTCATGAGTTTTCTCCTCAGGGCAAATAATTTGGGCAGAAGGAATGAATACCGGTTAGGAATACCAGTTAGGACGAGAAGTTAAAGTTCCAAAAAAGAGAATATTTGCAATTCAGTGTTGAACTGTGCAGTCCTTGGTGCTCTCCAAGCATGGTTGTTTTCTTGCATTACATTTCATTATCAATGATGTTACCTATTTGGGTAATGAAATGTCTGCAAGAAAACAGAGAGAGCACCAAGGACCCCAAAGTTAAAGACCTTCCCCCACTAACAGTCACAATTTGTGTTTTTGATTCAGCTGGTCCCAAACATGCCAGTTATGGTTACTTGTTAAAGAAAAAAAAACAGGATCTGCCATCTCTTCTCACAAAAGAAATCAAATCAAATCTAGCTTGATTTTGGGGCTGAAAAATGGCTTGCCCAAAACAGAATAAACCCAGATGCTCTCTCCATCTAAACAGTAAAAATCACCATCTGATTAGCGTTCAGAGTTTTAATTGATGTCAGCACAAGTTTCAGGTAACTTAACAGCTACTCTAAAATAAGGGCAATTTTATGCTGGACTGTCAAACAGTTCAGAGTCAGTTAAATTACTTCTACATCCGAACTCCCCACATTCAGAAAACCAATATTTCAGGGTATTCAAGCTAGATTCTTCCTGATCTAGTTTCCACATGAAGAAATCCTTAACCTGAGAAGCATTCAGTCCTGCTCTTTCCCATCTTTCTTCTCAAATGATACAATGCTCAAGAAAACATCCGTGTGTTTTTCTGAACATGATTCCTGAATTCATCCAGATGGTAAAATAAACAATTGTTTTGCAAATACCACAGCATAATTTCACATCAGATATAATGCTTCAGCTGAACTCCTATACATAAAAGTAGCACAAAAGTTGTAACACTTTGGGACAACCCTGATGTCTAACTAATCCGTGGATCTTTAGAACCTGATACAGAACTAAAGTCAAAGTGCATAATATAAGACATAGAAGTAATATAAGATTAAAAGATAAAATAAATAAAACAAAATGAAACAAAAAAGATAAATTGAGCATATAGGTTATATTTTCTTAGTTCAGACAAACCTCTTTGAATGCTGAGGCTATTAGTGCTTAGTAGTAAGAGACCATAATAAACATAGGTAGAATAGTCATTGTTATTAATGAACTTGGAGCAGATTTAATCAAGTCGAAATTTTGTCAATAACTCTTGCTGGCTATTAAACAAAAGTTGGTGACATTATAAGGCAGTTTATCACTTTGATCAGCTAAAGGATAACTGAGATTTTTAAAAGTCATTATGGTCTGGAGATCAAGTTAATGACGGTGTGATAAATTTGTGCTGTTGATCTTGATACGACTGACAAAAATGGATGTGGGATACTTTCAATGGCTTCTGATTTAAAGTAATAAAGACATTGATTATATAGGTCTTTCTGGAAATTCTGTTTGCAGGGCATTACAATGTGCAAACATGAGAGCTCTTTGAAATTTTGGCATGGTGATCAAATAGCTATCTACCAGGCTTGTGATTGGTAATCTATTTCCCTAAAAAGGCATCAGGATGAATGAGACTGTGCTCAGTTTGGTGCTCAAATGTATTCATTGTCTGAGGTTCTTCTTGACCAAGTCATATCCCACTATTTTTAGCGCATGAGGAGAGCAGCCATACTGGGACCTGTTAGACCAGGGGTGTCAAACTGCCAGCCCGCAGGCTGGACGCGTCACACGGAAGCTGCACCCACCCCATTGCCAGCAATGGCAAAACAGTCCCAATACATCGCGCGATGTCACATGACGTCGTAAGTTTGAAATGTCTGTGTTAGACCATCTATTCCATTTCAAGATGAAGAGGTCACATATAAGAACATAGTGTGCTCACAAAATGTAAAGATTGCTTACTTCTTTGCAAAACAGAAATGGCCTTTAAAAACAAACAGGGAACTTTTTGGACTTAAGCAAATTTCAAGTATAAAATCTAAAAACCAGTCACGGTGAATATTTTCATCTAGCACTGAATTAAATTAACCAATTATAGTAGGGTCTTAAAGCTATAAATAAAATAGAATAGCAGAACATTCTCTTTCGCTGCACTTGGTTACCTTGTTTTAATTGTTGCTGTGACTGTACACCACCCATTACATTATGTGCAATGAATGGCCATATAAATTTGTTAAATAAATACATTTGATAATATCTTTATTAGCACTGATTGGCTGATAACTTTACCAAGTCTTTACATTGCCACATAAACTTTTCCCAAACCAACAGAGTTAAGTAGCATGTCAATAGAGGATCGTAACTACTTCAAAATTAATCAGATAAAGCCTATTATCTAAGGAGTAATAGATTATGTCATAATGCTGCAGTTGACAGTATATTTAATTAGTCAGATGCTGCTGAGTTTGGTTTTGACACCTGTATATGTTATTGTCTTGATCTGTCTTTAGTAATAGTGAGTCATATCTATTCCAAAGCCATTCCCATAATTAACAACATGCAAATATCCAAATGTGTAGCTGTGACTTTACCTTTATATCCATCTTCTTTTTATTATTCTGACATGTGCAAGCTGTAACTATGAGATGGTGACAACGCTTGTGCACAACACATGTGCAAACTGGAAAAAAAGAAAAAGAAAAAGAAAGCTATCAGAAACTAATACAGAAAAATATGATTTGCTCTTAAATGGACCAGAATTTTAATTGCCTCAGTGTTAGGTCAACATTTTTCCTAGGTAGACTCCAACCTGGCTGGAAAACTCCCTTCAAAAGCACTCATCAAGAGCTCCTCTTCAACCTTGGTTCAAACTAGGACTGGGAGTTTTCAACATTTTAATTAACTGAATAAGGAAGGCTTATCAAATTTGCAGATGTTACAAAATTAGAAGGAATAGTTCATCTTGAGAAAGTCAGCTTTATGTAATTAAGGCAAGAGGCTAGAAACCTGGAATTTGAAAATTCTAGTCTTGCCTTAGACATGGAATCCAGTTGGATTACTTTAGTCCGCCTTGCACTTTCAGCCCTAGGAAGAAGGCAATGGCAAACTACTTCTGAAAAATTTGCCAAGAAAACTGCAGGGACTAGTCCAGGCAGTCAGCAGGAGTCAACATTGGCTTCAAGACACGTACCCAGAGACACATATAGACAAACACACAGCATAATCTAGAACAGTGGTTCTCAACCTGTGGGTCGGGATCCCATTTGGGGTCGAACGACCATTTCACGGGGGTCGCCAAACAACGCAGTCCACCATTTTTCCCCCTTTTCCTTAGCTGTGCTATTCCCTTTTATTCTATTGGCTTTTGAAAGCCAATAGAATAGACTCTCTTGAATAGAGTCTAATTCTATTGGCTTTCAAAAGCCAATAGGAATTGTCCAGGCTATCTCTGCCCTGCTGAGCCCGCCAAAAGTCCCATTCTGCAAATGGTGCTGCATCAGTTGAGTAGTCCTCGACTTACGACCAGTTGAGTAGTCCTCGACTTACGACCGGTTGGGGGTCGCAGCATTAAAAAGGTTGAGAACCACTGATATAGAAGATTGAAAGGAAATTCAATAATATTTTAATAGTCTAGAGAAATAGAGTAATAACAACCAAATGGAATTAACAGAGATCTTTACCCAGGAAAGAGAAATAATGGATTGGGCAAGACTTGGTTTCATAAAATTGTGAAAAAGATGTTGGAATTGTACTTTATCATAAGCTAAATAGGAGTCAGCAACATGAGATGGCTGTAAAAGTCAACTGCAATTTTAGACTGCATCAACAGGCAAACAATTTCCACATCATGAAGAAATCTACCCTATTCTTCATTGGTTGAACTCTACTTTCAATAGTTTATGTAAGACTCGCCACTATACTTTAAGAGAGATTCAGACAACCTGAAGCAAAGAAGAACAATAAAAAGGGGTCAAGACTGGAAACTAACTCTTCAAGCAGAGAAATGTTTAAACCATTTAGTGATCCACAAAAAATTCTCCCACTCACTGCAAGCAGATTATAAAAAAAGGAGAAAATGACAAATGTGTAATGCATAATGTACTGTAACCTTAACAATAAGTTACTGTACCTTGGCATTGGTATCCTTGCTTTCCAAATACTCCCCTGTTGAAGATAAAGCAGAAGCAACATATGACTCAGGATGAGATCAAACACTTCAAAAGTAGGTCAGGTAATCTGACACAAGAACAAAACAAAGGTTAAGATGCAGCTGCAAATGTATATCGTATCAACAATATGGGGAGAGGTAAACTCAGCTTAAACCCTAAGAAGACAAAACTATTGTTCATCCAGAAACATTTAGGCACTCTAGAAACTTTAGTACTAGTGGTGGAATCTTCCTCCCCTTAACACAGCAGGTGTGTCACTGGGGCTTGCCTAGGATTTATAGTTACTATTGGAAGAACAGGTGGAAGTTGTAGCTCAGGGATACTTTGGTCAGGTTTAACTGATGTGCCAAATATGTCTCCACCTGGAGCTGCAAGCCTTTTACCACCCTTTCTTGACTACGGCAATGCACTAGGTGAGACTGCCTTTAAAAATAACTCAGAAGCTACAGCTCACACAGAATGCAGTAGCCAAATTGCTGGTGGGTGGAATCTGCTATTTCAGGATAGAACTTATTTTGCAATGCTGCACCCAGTTTAAAGTGATAGGTATCATTTATGAAGCCCAATATGGCACAGCCCTGGGTTTCATCAAGAACTGCCTTGCTCAAAATGCCTTCCTGTTTTGAACAGTGAGGGAGGCTTGCTCAAGATCCCTTCATTATGAGAGCTGAAAGGGATGTGAACTAGAAGGGATCTCTGTAAGTTGCCCCCATAAGGTAGAACATGCTCCTTTATTCTTGCCATTCCAAAAATCTCTAAAGGACATTTGAACTGATGGACCCAACACAACCATTTCCTTTAATCAAGTAAAACCAATTAGAGGTGATAAGTTTTCATTTATGGGTTGTTTATTTTGCTTTCATTGTTAAATGCCCAGAGTCAATTGATTAGGGTACTATAACATTTTGTAAATAAATTTAAGAATATCTAAAATCCAAGTTTAAATGATGAATCTTACTTCCAATATTGATAAAACTCAGAATGAATTCTGACTAAAATTTATAATCAAAACTTTAAGAAATAAATTTAAACATATACAAAATTCAGTGCAACCTCTTAGTAGGAAGTAAACACCACAAATCTCAGTGAGATTAATCTCAGGAACATGTGGAACATATGTATCGTCATAATTTATCAATCCCATCCTTTCTACAAGAACTAAGATAGAAATCCTGTTAGGTTTAATATAGCTTACTTAGAAATAGATGAGCTTTGGCTTATAGCCACAATGTAGTTTTATTTTAAGGATCAAACTTTATGAACACTAAGCAGTTTACATTATTAACATTTTAAGGATCAAACTCTATGAACACATTTATATACGTTGTAATAAATGTCCCTACACTCTGCTGGCTGACTGGCACCCAAAATGTTTCAACCCACTCCAACAAACAATTTTGCAATTCAATTTTCTTTTTTCAGCTAATGAATAATGGAAATATAATTATGAAAACATGCACTCATTGTTTTGTGCTGAAAAAGTGAGAACATTTCACAGAACTGTCCTGAGTAGAACAATTTAGGATACTGCAAATATCATCCAGTAAGCAGTGTACATTATTAACATTTAATGGAAATAAACATTCTGTTGGCATATGCATTGGAAGCATCTTGGGAACATAACATGGTAGAGGGCTTTAATGACTCTTCTCCTCTTTTGCCAATCAGATCTAGCCAACTGAATAGATAAAAAAGCTTCCATGAAATTCAATGGAAGCTTTTTCACCAATGCAAACAGAGAGGCAAGAGCTCAATCTAGGATTGAGATTGCCATGGAGAAAAGATAGAGGGGAGTCCCAAATCTCCATGCCTGAGTCCTAATTCTATACAGTTATTAGTTGTGAAATTTGTGGTTTGACTAGTTTGCTCCAACCAAAATTATTTTATACATATTATATAATATATAATTAATAATCAATGGTTGTAATAAAACCAGATGATGAGAATTTAACAGAATAACAGAGTTGGAAGGGAAGTGGAGGTCTTCCAGTCCACCCTTTGCTCAAGCGGGAGACTCTATAACATTTCAGACAAATGGCTGTCCAGTCTCTTCTTAAAAACCTCCGGTGATGGAGCACCCACAACTTCTAAAGGCAGGCTGTTCCACTGCATCAACCATCTTAATCACAATAATTTGCATGTGATCACATTCTTCAAAACCTACATGGATTCCACTATCTCCACCTGTACAGGAAAATACCTCCAACTCTTCCCCTGCAGATTTGATAGCGTGCATAGCTTTGATTAAAGCTGCTTTCAGGGAAAGTATCAGAGCTTAAGTCAGTGACTACTCCTGATGTATCCTGTCTTTTTGATCTGAAGCATAATTGTTTCAGGTAACCTGCTCTTGCCTTGTTTAGGGATTAGTCTTCTGGCACTGAATTCAGCAGGTGGCAGCATCTGGCTTTAAATACCTAGCTCAGAAATTAAGCAGGTCAGGCCTGGCTAGTACCTGGAGGGGAGAATTCCAGAGAATGCCAGGGCTGTAAAACTAAGTTGGGGTTAAACACACATCCTGGAAGGAGGTAATTGTAAATCCCTTCTGAACTCTGGCCAGGAAACCACATGGATGCATTTATTAAATCACAAGGAGTTGAGCTCAACCTGAAGTGAACTTTTTACTTAGCAAAAGGGGAGGGAATTATGGAAGTAACTTCCTGGATGAAAGCTCCCATACAAGCCAGTTTTAATTTCAAGCATACCAGATAAATTCCCGACAATGTGAGCAGTACGTTGGTTGCCGCAAATAAGTTGCCATAAACTTGTGTCCATTGACTTGATGAACTCTCCTGCGCAGGGCCCGTTGGCGTTTCCGTGTGAAGTTTTTAAAGATCCTGTCCCTCTGGAGTGTTCCTGAGCACCCAAACAGAGTGGTTAAACAAGTGAATAAATTGCTGCCTATCATTCAAATGTTACGACTTTTCTATTGCTGTTTTCCTTTAATTTTCCACCCATATTTATCCCAAAACAATTTATCTTTAACTTTCCCCATTACTTTGCAGTATCCTGTCTCCTTTAGTTATCACTTCATTTTCCCAGTTAATCTGTTAGCAAACCTTAAAGCAGGGCTCCTACCAGACTGCGTGGGCTTCTTCTAGTCAATCTTATTTTTAGTATTCTTTTCCTTTGTTTTCCATCTCCTGTTTGAAGTCTCAGTTTCTCTTTCATACATCAAAACGCAGAGCTTGATTTAAGTGTAGGCATATGAACCAGTTTTACTCTTTTGGTGCTAAAATGCCTTAGATCACAATTGACAAAGTCATATCCTTTAGGTCTCATCAGGGTCTCCTTAATTCAGGAAGTAGCAATTCCAATCTTTATTCCATATGAAGTATTTTGAATATTCAAATATTTCCCAAAAATGCAAAACATTTCATAGTACATTATATTTACTAAGGCTTCCCTTGATTTATTTTTTTAAAAAACCTTGAATTTATGTTAATGTTGTTATTGATTAAATAAACTCAACCACAGTTCCTGGAATAACATTTTAAAAAAAGTATTCCTGAACTGAATAGTCTTTTTTCCCTTTAAAAAAATCTCAGCATTAATTTCTTCCAGTTCTTCAAACCAGCTATTTTAACATCCACATGGTGCATATTTCCTACTTTTACAAGTCACATGGTTTATATGCTGGATATGGCTTCAAGGTTTCGGTCCAGTGAATTAATTTGTAAACCAGTTTTCTTTAGAAGGAAAGATAAATGTTATTTCTCTCTCCAAATCACATACAACACCACAAAAGAGACAACCATAGGAACAGTGAGGTGGTGATAAACTTAAACTGGCATTGGGTGCCCCAGAACCTTTCCAAGACATTGAGTTGCTTGGGGGCATATCGTTCATTTGAACCCTTACCACCTCCATCCACTTTGTCCTTGATACATCCTATCTTGATATATTTTTTGCTCCATTGTCTTTGTCCATTGAAAATAACAGCCTCAAATACTGAAACAATCTGCTACTATATTTTATCTGATTCATTTTGCTACCTTGAATGAAAAGTCTGGACTCATCTCTTCATTCCAAATTCTAAACTACACATCACATAGCCCACCACCTTGTGGAAGGTCCAGGGCCACTGCCCCGATTGAAAAAGACTCTGATATTCTCTATTATATTTTGTAAGATCAAGACTGGGACTATGAACAAACATAATTGTCAACAAGAGCAGAATCGCTGCAGACCATGCATGGTGAAGGACATGAATAACAGCCATTGGTCTTATTGACTATAATGTCCTGTAAAGGAATTTGGAGTTGACTTTTTGGGAGAGAACAAGAAACCTGTTAGTGGGGGGGGGGGAGAGTGAATCATTATGAAGGACTTGGTGAAGAAATTACACAGTTCAGTGAAGGATGTATGAAAGAGCAATTCAGAATAGTCCCACTTTCATTTTCTTTGGTATAAAATAGAACAGTCAGAAATTTAGAACAGGCTTTCAAACTTTTGCTCATTTGACCTACAACAATGAAGCAGCAGTCCCTGCTTCTTGATCTGGCTTATCTGGAAGGACTGACATGAGATTTGATATACGTGGATGTGTTAGGGAAGCCTGCAAGAACTTGTACACCTCCAATTCTGTATTTACACCCTAAATTAGCCAAGCAAGATCCCTGTTGAGGCCAAGCCATCCAGACTCAGGAACAAGGACAAGTTTTGCTTACTGCTGATGTCTCCAGGTTCAGCCTTCAGTTTTCCACACTGAAGTGCTTGCTATGCATTTATTGTTTCATAGGTGAATTTATAGAGCAAGCAGAAGGAAATAATTAAGCTAAAGCACAGTCACTTAGATCCAACTTGATTCTACAGTGGTTACCATCCTATTTTTAAAATGTTAATTCTTTATTTGAAAAGCTAACAGGTACAAGTCTAGATTCCTTCCTTTACAGAAGGAAACTGAAGATGACAACCCTGGCTTGCAGTCTTTCCTCAGCTAGGGCAAGATGTCTGCATTTCTGTTCCATAATAATAATGATTTCTCATTGGGTACCCATATATAAAATATGTATAGGAAAATTTCATGCAAACTATATTCCCCTTTTTCTTCTTTTCAGCAACATGGAAGTGGCCATTCTATTCTGTTCTTTTCATAATCTGGTTTTCCGTGTAAAGAAGTTCCCATTTTCATAAGTGAGTAAACATGGCAGGTCAAAGGGCAGCAGGAATAAATCATGTCTAGCATTCAACATTTCATCACAATACTCCTAACTTTGCAAAATGTACAAGGTGACCAGGACACCAGTTTGTTTTTCTTTTGTTTAACAGCACTTTCTGTCTCTCCCCCACCCCACCGCCAAAGCAACACAGCTCTTTCTGCAGAGGCTGCTTCTCCTTTGCAGCACCTTCCGGGAATAACCACACAATCACCCATTTTTGCTTCTAAATAAAAGACCAAGAGGCCTGGCCACTTTATGCATTTTCAAATGTGGGTCTGAACTCTTCTCTTCCTGTGTAATTTCTTACACATTTTTAGTAATTTTATCCTTTTGACATAATAAACATTGCAATTAGCAGCATTTGTTTACAGAGAGCATATGGACCTGCAGTTTGTGCGTCCCTCCTTTGTAACTTGATTCATTCCAGGTTTCAAGTTCATCCCAGGCTTAGATTGACAACCAGCTCCTGTTCCCAGATCAGCTGCCTGATACCAAAACTTTGCTGAAGGTTGAGATGACTCAGCAGCCTTCAGTCCTCAATCTCTTTATATGCACTTCACTTCGATCCTCATAGAATGGCATACACAAAGCTTCGTTTTCAACCAGCAACTCAACAGCTTTCTTCAACAAACACAGTGAAAGGTTGGGCTTATACTGAACTGAAAACAGGACTGCCTACTCCTGTGCCTTTAGAAAACTGCTGCTCCCCTCCTGAGTCACTAACTTTCTTCTCCTGCAACATCCTGGATTCTCCCCAAGGAATCCAGTGCCAAAGAAAGCCCATCCCAGGCTGGCAGAGTTGCATACTGTAGTGAGATTTCGATATGGAAATAAGATTGTAATACAAGTTTCTCTAGTTACACATTGTTTACTGTATATCTTCTTCCTCTCCTGTGCTCTCCCACACACAGAAGAATGGAAGTAGAAATACTTTTCTCCAATTTGGATTCATATGGAAAATTCACGGTTTGGGCAAAACCTTTTAATTCAATCCCATCTTTAAATTATAGCAGTTTTTTTTCTTTATAGAAACACTACCTCTAGTTTTTTTTTTAATAATGACAGCTTGTTCAAAAGCACATCATCCTGCCTACTTCCTTTCTTTTGTAAAAGTTTGTCCCTTCCTGCTCAGGATCTGCTATAGAAAAAACGGGGGGAAATAAAAATTATTTGGAGCTCTCCTTTTAATAATTCTTTCCGTAAGAAATGGAGATGTAGAGCAATGTATATTGAGTGTGTCTGTACATGCATAAATCTCCAAGTTGGTAGAAAGTGAACTGCAGGATATTGCAAGGTAGAGATTGAGGCTTGCATAGAATATCATGAGTGTGCTTGAGGAAAATCTGGGTTTTAAGGTAAGACTGGTAGCTTAATCTATAGCTTCTCTATCTATAGAGTAAGAAAGGAGATAGATACAAATGGTAGGAGTAAGTAAATAAATGAAATGACTCATGAGAAAGCCTCCATTCATCAAAGCTATGATTGGTGAGGGAAATCAATCAATGACCTTTCTAGTGATGGCATATGGAAGAGTGAATTAACAAATGAAAGGAAGAAATCTCATAAGATATCTCATGTATTTGTGAAATTAAGAGAAAAGGAAAGGAGAAGTCTAAAAGAAGGTAGCCTGAACTTTTTGGAATGGCACTGATGAATTACCCGCAAGGAAGTAAGATGTATGGCAAAGAGTACAAACTGACATCATCAAGGATATTATGGGCCTGCAAAAAAGCAGGTCCACACTAATTATTGATTATACCACATCTGTGGTAGAACAATCCATAACAGTTCAAAAACATCACTATAACTGAAACTCCCATCAAAGTTCATCCAACCCCTGTTGCAAGATGACCTTCAATCACCAAAGATCTTCCAGAAGAAAGATGTCTTCCCTGCTTTCTAGATGGCCTGTACCAAGGAGGTTAGTGAAGGAGACACATTAGAAATTAGAGTTTCCCTATGGAGAAATGTCAAATATATCACTAACTAATTGCAATTTCACATTAACCATGAGAAATGCAATACAATGTGTTTGTTAAGTTCTGGAGAAGGTAGAAGAAAGCAGCATTGAAGAGGGTATAAGGCAGTAGGGCAGGCTTATTTTGGCAGTAAAAAATGTTGCTATGGTTTCAGTCTAGGGTGCAATAAAGATTCTAATTTAACTATATCCTGGGTTTGTCTGAGAAGTTTCAAAAAGCCCAACTAAGAGCGAAATGAACAACTAGATATGTGAGCAAGTCCGTAGTTTAGATCTTCCTATGAATTACAAATCTGCTTAGAGGTCTTAATCAACCATTGTTTCTCAGCTATCCTATAGTGAAGATAAGGCTCGGTGTTCTGAACCCAACTTAAGGATTTCTGAAGATGTCCAATGCAAGTTTTCCTCCATTCCAACAAAGTATGCATAATTTGGCAATTATGACATTCTTCTGTTTATTCAATATTTATTATTTTACATCTGTTGCAATTGGAGCTTAATGACATACTATGGTGTGTGGAATAACAATTATTAGAGAGAAAAGATGCAGTATTCCTCTTACCTTCGGTGAAGCTGCCTGAGAGGGTTATTGCTATAAATATTTTCCCTTCAGGTTCCAGGTCCACCTGCAAGAGAAGAGAAGAGAGAGAGAGAGAAATTGTCAAATGTGCTTTGGAAATAAAAAGTCCGTATTAGGTGTATCCCCATTAATAACAATTTGACAATGACCTGGAAGATAAGACCAAGTGTGGATGCTAAGAATTAGAGTTGGATCTGTGTTCAGGATTTCACCATAAAAAGTAGAGGCATTTATCTAATGAGGCAGGTTCATCCAAGCAATTAAACAAATGTGATGTTGCAATATAAGCACCTCCCTTATCTAGATACATATCACAATGCATGTACAAAAGTGGTAGAGACTGCCTCACAACATTGTGATCATTTCAATATTTGATCCCCAAACCCTATGGATACCCATCCAGAAAAGTTCTACATTAACTGTAATCCCTGTAATATAGCTATTATTACTGTGGAAAGCATTTGAATTTACCCATGCACAAGCAAAGCACTCCTTCTTGGAAAAACTGTCCCTACTTGTCTGCATGTGCATCCATAATTATTTTGTTTAGTTGGTGATCTCAGTAAAAGGGCTGTCTTTGTAGTGACAAAAACATTATAGAAACTTGAAGTGAGTTTTAATACACCAGATGGGGGTTCACTTACATGAGCATTCATGAAGCATCTCTTTTGAATGGATGGCAAAGTCTTAAGCCCTCATACCTGAACCTAAAAAAAAATCTGTATTTGATTGGTAGGGACTGTAAGCTATTAAAACCCCTGGAAGTTAGCCAATAAATATATTGTACATACCACAGTAAATAGAAATAATATATAAATTAATCAATAACCATTCCCCCAAACAAGCAAACAAAAAATAAACACTAAACCCAGATGTCAATCAATCTACAATTGAGCATGTTTGCATTAGAAGTTAGAACATCTTGATTGCCAAACCTCAAATTCACACACAATATTTCAAAGAAAAGAACAGTGCACTGTTTAAGTCTATAAAAATTTACATCTTCAGTCAAGATGTATCTACTCCTCAAGAGGTTGAGATCCTAAAGCAATCTCTACAGCAAAGATATTTTGGATTACAACTTTCAAAATAAATAATCAGAGGCATACTTGCTGGATACCATGTTCCCTACACCATGTTCCCTACACCATGTTCTAAGCCATCTTTCTACACAGGATGCTTCCCAAATGCATTGACTTTACAATTGTCATTGCCTCTAAGAGCATATAGACCTCTATATATGGATTGTGAGAATTGTATTCTCAGTATCTAGGGGAATATTATGCTGAGGAAGGCTCCTCTGGAGTATTATTTATTTATTTATTTATTTTTAAAATTTATAAGCCGCCACACTCCCGGAGGACTCTGGGCGGCTAACAATAAAAACACATAAAACATAACAAAACAAACAGTACAAGAACAGTCATCCAGGGGTCAGATTTTATAGACCCCAGGCCTGCCGGAAAACCAGGTCTTAAGCAGCTTACAGAAAACCAACAGGGTGGGAGCAGTCCTAATCTCCGGGGGGAGCTGGTTCCAAGATGTGGGCGCCATCACAGAGAAAGCCCTCCTCCGCGGCCCCACCAAATGGCACTGCTTGGCCGATGGGACCTGAAGGAGGCCCAGCCTGTGGGATCTAACCGGACGAAGGGAACTATGAGGTAGTAGGCGGTCTCGCAAATAGCCTGGCCCTGAGCCATATAGGGCTTTAAAGGTAATAACCAACACCTTGAATTGGACCCGGAGACCAATAGGCAACCAGTGCAGCTCACGGAGGATAGGTGTAACGTGGGTGTATCGAGGAGCACCCACTATCACTCGCGCGGCTGCATTCTGGACCAACTGTAGTCTCCGAATACTTTTCAAGGGTAGCCCCATGTAGAGCGCGTTGCAGTAGTCCAGGTGTGAGGTGATGAGGGCATGAGTGACTGTAAGGAGAGTCTCCCGGTCCAGGTAGGGTCGCAACTGGTGCAACAAATGAACTTGTGCAAAGGTCCTCCCAGCCACAGCCGTCAAATGATGTTCCAAATTCAGCTGTGGATCAAGGAGGACACCCAAGTTGCGAACCCACTCCGAAGGAGGTATATTTTCCCCCGAAAGAGTCAACACTGGACAGTCGACATGGTCCTTGGGAGGCAACATCCAAAGCCACTCGGTCTTGTCAGGATTGAGCCTGAGTCTGTTAACCCCCATCCAGACCCTCACGGCTTCGAGGCAACGGCCCATCACATCGGCCGCTTCACTGAGAGAGCTCAGGGAGGAGATATATAACTGGGTATCATCAGCATACTGATGAAACCTCACCCCGTGCTGTCTGATGATCTCACCCAGCGGCTTCATATAAATGTTAAATAGGAGGGGGGAGAGGACCGACCCCTGCGGCACACCGCATTCAAGGGGCCTCGGGGTTGACCTCTGCCCTCCCACCAATACCGATTGCGACCGGCCAGAGAGATAGGAGAACCACCGTAAAACGGTGCCTCCCCCTCCCACCCCTTCAAGTCGTCGCAAAAGGATACCATGATCGATGGTATCAAAAGCCGCTGAGAGGTCAAGTAGCACCAAGACAGAGGAATAACCCCTGTCTCGGGCCCGCCAGAGATCATCCATCAGCCCGACCAAAGCGGTTTCTGTGCTGAAGCCGGGCCTGAAGCCAGATTGAAAAGGGTCTAGATAATCCGCTTCATCCAGAGACCACTGGAGCTGGAGCGCCACCACTCTTTCTACAACCTTCCCCACAAAGGGGAGATTGGAGACTGGACGGAAGTTATTTAAGTCAGCCGGGTCCAGGGTAGGCTTCTTGAGAAGGGGCCTCACAACTGCCTCCTTCAAGGATTGCAGGAAAGACCCCTCCCTCAACGAAGCATTGATCAACACCTGGAGCCAGCCTCGTGTCACCTCCTTGGCAGCCGAGACCAACCAGGAAGGACACGGGTCCAATAAACAAGTGGAGGCGCTCATTGCTCCCACTGCTCTGTCAACATCCTCAGCAGTCACAGACTCAAATTCATCCCATAAAACTGAGCTAAGACCTGCCCCAGTCATCTCAGAAGGCCCTGCCCAATCGGAGTCTAGGTCTGTCCGAATCCGAGCGATTTTGTCTGATAGGAATTGCACAAATTCCTCCACTCTACCCTGTAAGTATGTAAAATCTAATGCATTTTCTAACTCATTCCTAGCATTTAGACTCTAAAAAACAAACCAAATGATTTGGAGGGGAAGGAAGGTTATTTTACCATATATAATACTGATATAAGTAAATTCAGATAATTCTAGCTTGAATAAAGGCTTCCAATAAGGAAGCCACACCCACTCATCTTAAATCTTCTCATTCCCACCTGCCCCTGCTCCCCAATTATTACAAATCCAAAATTGGCAAAATAAAATGGTAGTAGGAATGTACTGATAGAGAATGGTTGTAAAATCAGATCCGGTCACACAATGACTTATGATAGAAATTCCGGCCTCCATTGTGATCCCAAGTCAAAAACTACCTGGACTGTGTCAGAATCCTTGTACTTATAAAATGTCAAAAACAGTTTGATACGTGTGTGTGTGTGTGTGTGTGTGTGTGTCTCCACTGTTTTGCAGTTTAGACAAAAAGACAACCCAAAGTGATTATATTTCTATTAAAGAAAATCAGCCCTTGTTTTCCACTAAAAGTTCATGTTTTTAACAACTCTTTACTCAAAGATTGCAGAATTGGGAGTTTTGTTTCTCATTCCATTTATAGCAATTCCAAAAATGTCTGCTGAAGTTCAAGTCACCCCATCACATGCCTTCTATAAAAAGCTTCCTCTTATTCTTCTTGATAAAAAAAATGTTGACAGCTAAATGTAAATATAAATCTAACACACCACGTGTAACATTGGCAACAATTAAAACAGTCTGAAAATAGGGTTCTCTGGTTAGGTGACTCAGTGATTTCCAACAGCCATTCCTCGTGGCTGAACTTGCAACTAGATCCAAAATAAGCATTCTGATAAGCCACTGTAAAAGGGGAAGGAGCAGTCAACACAATTTGCAAACTCAGTTTAGTATGGAGAGAAATGCACAGTAGAACCACTTATGAATCCTCAAGTTTTAAAGTATGGTTTGATGTCAGACTTATGGAAACAATTACTACCACCAGCACCCAGATAACAGATGAGTAAAATTATGAGCTCTAAATATGCAACCAGAGCAGTGAAAAGTTTGACTACAAAATAATCCCTGTAAAATTCAGTAATATTTAAATTACTAAGTAAATTCCTGTTTAAGCCCTATAAAACTTCAAGATAAACCACTACAGAAACTTTTTTCTCAGATGAATGAATTTTTCTCCTTTCTCATAGAAAGCAATGAGGCAATGTCTCTGATGTTACAAACCATGCCAGAAATGAGGGAATGGGGATTTCCAGTGAGAATTCATGGTGATCTAGACTTCTCTGAAGGAGTAAAGATGGCATTGCGACAAGACTCACAGCTAGACAGAGATTTCTGGTTGGCCAAGGTAAAGGAAAGATCCCAACAGCTGCTTCTTGTGAGTAAACTGCAGGAATGGAGGTGCTTTGGAATCAAGGAATTCCCACCAAGTTCCCAGCTTCGGTGTAGCCTTATGGACACAAAGTTCTGCCAAGCTTCATTTCTTAATCAGTTTTGGATATTGCTTCTTAACTGCTTTTCAACTATTAAAAATCTTTCAAACAATGTGCACCAGGAGCTTCCTTTAATCCTTAGAAAAAGAAATTTTAAAGTTAAGTAAGAATATTTTAAAAACATTTTTTTAGAATAAACAGTAAATAGCGTTGATTTTGGAAAGTTATAAATAAACTAACGGTCCTGATGGATTTGAAATAAGGTTTTGAGTAATAACAATCCTTCCCATGGGAAAATGCTCTTGTTTTGGAATTCTTAAAAGAAAATATGATAGGATGAGAATTTGAATGTTGGACACTAGAAGAAATCAGAAAACACTGAAAGTCCCAATTAAAGGAGAAGTATGCATATATTTGATTTACTAACACAGAATGGAGCAAAATACTTTAACATACTGTAGCATGTTTG